ATAAATGTTTACATGTTTACAGCACTTACTGCTTGATCCTTCCCCTGATTCTGTGTCCGGGGTAAGGGATGGGGACGGTTGGTACGGGATCTCGGTAAGGGTGATGAAGAGCTCCTGGCTGTCGGGGAAATCAGCGGTGCCAGCGCTGTCGACTGCCTCGTCCTCCTCATCTCCTTCTTCATCTTCCCCGTCCGCTGTCATGTCCGACGAGGAACCGGCCGCGGACATGATCCCATCCTCGGAGTCCACGGTCAGGGGTGGGGTAGTGGTGGCGGCCGCTCCCAGGATGGAATGCAGTGCCTCGTAGAAACGGGATGTGTGGGGCTGGGATCCGGAGCGTCCGTTAGCCTCTTTTGTTTTTTGGTAGCCTTGTCTCAGCTCCTTGATTTTCACGCGGCACTGCGTTGCATCCCGGCTGTAGCCTCTCTCTGCCATGGCTTTGGAGATCTTCTCGTAGATCTTAGCATTCCTTCTTTTGGAGCGCAGCTCTGAAAGCACGGACTCATCGCCCCACACTGCGATGAGATCCAAGACTTCCCGATCAGTCCATGCTGGGGCCCTCTTTCTATTAGATTGCACGGCCATCTCTGCTGGAGAGCTCTGCATAGTTGCCACTGCTGCTGAGCTCCCCTCGATGTCCAAAGAGGAACTGAGATTCAAACTGCCCAGACAGGAAAATGAAAATGAATTCAAATTTTCCCGGGGGTGTGGCTGGTCAGAGCATCCGAGCTCGGACTGCTGTCCAGAGCGTCAACAGAGTGGTGCACTGTGGGATAGCACCCGGAGCTATTACCGTCGATTTCCATCCACACCTAGCCTAATTCGATATGGCCATGTCGAATTTAGCGCTAATCCTCTCGTTGGGGAGGATTACAGAAATCGATTTAAAGAGAGCTTTATGTCGAACTAAATGGCTTCCTGGTGTGGACGGGTGCAGGGTTAATTCGATATAACGGCGCTAAAGTCGACATAAAAGCCTAGTGTAGACCAGGCCAAAGGGAATGTAAGAGGGTTTAGTTTATAGTTGGATGTAAGATGTCATTCAACCTTTAAAGTAAACAACTCTTTCTATAATCTCAGTGTCATGGTTCTTTATTTCTGATGTAAAACATTTTCCAAAATAAAACTGAGAATGCAAATTGATGTGGAACGGAGGTAATTTTCAGTGATGTCCTTTGAAACGAGGGACGTTTGAGAGTTGCAATCCTTTATTTTTATTTTTAAAAAATCATAGAATTTAGAGATCTATGGGTATATGTTATGTATATGTTAACAATAGGAAACAAAAGAGTAGTGAACATTATGCTGGAAAACCCATGCAACAACCCCCACCCCTCTGCAGCAGGGATTCGTTTTATAAGGATTTCCTCTCAGCTTCCCCACATCGGTCCTGTGGGGATGCAGGGAGGGTAAGAGAAGAGAGTCTGGTTTGCTCCCACTCCACAGAACAGACCATGTGGAACTCTGTGAATCCCCAGAGAAGTCCCTTGTGGCCCCTGTCCCTGAACACAGCTCCATTGGAGCGCTGTACAAGAGAGTCACAGGCAAAGCTCCCTCTGCTGCCCCATGAAGAGGGCCTTGTGACAAAGATAATACACCTCTAAGCTCTGTGCTGTATTATCTTTTCCTGAGAATCTCTGCAGTTCCAGAGAGTCACTTGTACATTTCTCCAGGCAAGTGCCCCACTCCTCTCCTGGCATGTCTAGACTCTGATCTCTCCCTCAGCACAAACTCTGGACCAGTAGAGAAAGTGTCCACAGAAGTCAGAGGAGAGGGATGGGGTAGAAGGCAGTACCACTGAGGCAGCTGAGCCTCTCCTCTGTGTAGGAGGGTTGAGCCCCCATGCAAAGGGTCCCATCCACATGCTGGTCTGGCTGGCATGATCCCACTGGATGATCATTTGCAATATTTAGCATATATGATATTGTTTCCACATCACTAATCTGTTTTTCCCTTATTAGGAAGCAGAATTGATATTTCTTTTTCTGTAAAACTTAGTTTCTATGGTACAAAAATCAACCCTAAGTCACCTCTGGTAAAGCAACGAATATCAAGCTAAGACTATTTAATATCAGGTGGCTCATTATTACCATAGGCAACTGAAAAAATGTCTGAAGAAATGAGAAAGTCCATTATAATAAGAACTAAATGTAACTTAATTTTTAAAAATATAGTATTTGGCTCTTCATAGCTGGGGCTGGAAGAATCATTTTAGCATAAGTTTGTACCCTCCTGAGGCGAGCACATTGATTTATTTTATGACAAATCAAGCCTCGTGCTGGGCTATGAATGAAAGATTTATAAGATTTTGGCCTTTAAAAGTGGCTGTTATAAAAGCGAGAGGCTAAAAGGGAGAACATTAAAGTTTGCAGTAAGGGAGGTAGAGAATCATGCTGCCCAGTGAATTCATATAGCCAGATTAACTACTCGCACACATAGGTACAACTCTATTAACTTCAATGGAGTTGCATTCACTTAGGCCAGAAGTTAATCTTACCCTTCAACAAAAGATTGTGCAAAAAGTGCTTACTAGTGTTCACAGTAAGGATCTGAAGTCCTCACTTAGGCAAACTCCTGTTAAATTCAATGGGAGTTTGCCCAAGTATGGACCCACTGACACTTACAGTTAAATCTTATCTGAGAGCATTATATTCCAAGTGTGAATACCATGAACTAATGCACTGCAAAGGCATGAAAAGTATCCATTGTAAATGGGTGCTTCTTTTGCTCCTTTTTAAATAAAGGAACATTTTTACTGCACTCAATCTTTTCAGGAAACTATAGGTACAACTTCACTATCCTCTTACCCATTACGCTCCTCCTCTATTGTTATGTGTATTATAGTAATACCTAGAGATTCCACCCATTATGTTTGGCACTATACAGTCACATAAGGGACAGTCTGTGCACCCAGAGACTTTACAGTCTAAATAAACAATATCAGGACGACCTGAGATTCATGGCATTCCGTGCAGGTTTGCCATTCAATTGACAGAGGCAGAAGTCTCCTGTCCTCCATTCTCCTTCTGAATTTTGAGATATTTTGGAGAAAACATACCCCCAATACATTATAAATTCTCCAAGGACCTTTTCTGAATGCTCTAAAGTGCTTAAAATGTGGGATTTTACCCCCATGGTCTTTCTCAAATAATACACCAACACCCAAAGACTTGTGGTACCCTGTCTAAACTATCTTTTAACATCTTTAGTGCTGTAAGACAAGTGAAGGTAGTTGGATGACTCATTGTGAGAATCCTGTACATCGGACTCTGAAAACTTGTTTGAAAATAATAGGAATGTTTTTGAAGGTGTTTCGCCAAAGGTCTGTATTCTGGGTAGGTGTGATATTGGGAAACATACATTTTTAACATGAAACTCTATTCCAGAAGGTAATTTCACTTCATTATCATGCTGCTAGTCCTACACTTTGGCAAATGGCAATTACATTCATTTAAACAATGATAAGGAGATGATTGATTCATCCCTTAGAATACATTCAGTAGGAAAAGTTAATTAAACCACTTTCAGGCTTAATTATACCCAATTAAGTATTTCAACCTTTAAAATTTAATATCCACATTTTTTAAAAATACCTTTTAATGGGCTTGTAGAGCTAGCTCATTTATGATTGTGTCCTTAGCATTAATTGCCTTACTGATGTCAACTCCTCAGATGTTTCGTTGATTAAAAATAATTCTCTCAAGTGGTAGATTTCAGACTTTGCCGCTATCATAGTCTTTCTCCAGTTCTTCTCATCTGAAGTGATTTAGGCTTTGTCTACACTGGAACCTGAACAACAAAACTTTTGGCATTCAGAGGTGTGAAAGAAACAGCCCCCTGAACGACAAAAGTTTTGTTGATGAAAAGCGCCAATGTGTACAGCGCTTTGTTGGCAGGAGAGCTCTCCTGCTGACAAAGCTACGACCACTTGTTGGGGATGGAAGTTTTTTGTTGGTGGGAGCACTCTCTACGGCTGACAAACAGCGGCTACACTGCGCGCCTTTTAGCGGCACGGTTGTAGTGGCACAGCTGTGTCACTAAAAGGTGCGCAGTGTAGACACATCCTTAGATTCTACCTGTGCATGCATGACCGGGTCTCTATTTTGCTCACTGAACAAAGTTGCTCCTAATGATGGACAAATCAAACAATAACGTTGCCAATGATTGTGAATATTGGCTATATTCAACTTAGCAACTATGTCTGATCAACTATTTGAAATATATGGCAATAAAATTAAGGATTAGCAAGAGAGGTTGCTTTGAGATTTCCCAGGCTCTTGAGAGCATTCCAGCTAATTAGTGCTCAGTTTAGATTCAGTCATGTGCCTTATATGTAGAGGGACAGTCTTAGTGTTACTGCCACTTTAGTGAAACTTAGATTTTTGTCCAGTTTTACCACAACTCTCAGCCTTCCAGCCATCTGCATACCCTCTGCCCTCTTACTCTATGAAGTTATTGGGCCCATCTCTGTCTGCGGTTGGACTGAATATTCTTTCTCGATGAATTGGGCTGGTTTCTGTGTTATAGGATATAATCTGGGATTCCATTATCCAGTGGCTCTCAACCTTTTCCTTACCAGGACCCCACTCCATAACGAGGATCTATCCAAGACCTCCATCTCATTTAGCAATAATTCCCAAATACAGAACCCATGGCATAATCCATTGTGAAGTAGCATAGCAAAGACAATAAGAAAGCAGTCAACAAAAAGAGGTTCATTAGGGTACAGACACAGCACAAGTAGGCCAGAAAGCAGCAGAGAGTGGCAGGGAGATTACAGAAGCCCTGGAGTCCAACCGTGGTAGCCAGGACTCAAAGATAGTGGATAGAGAGCACATAGGACACAGGAAGTAAGGGGGGCAGAGAGAGGGAAGGAAAGGAAGGTTGCATGCCCTGTTCAATAGAGAGAAAGAATGATGCATCTATTTGATGGAAAATAAATGTGAGAAACAATGAGCAAGCAGGCACACAGATGTACCTCTGCAGTACATACCAGATAGAAGGCTCTGAGTCTCTGTTCTAACCTCTCCAGGTCCTTACAATCATGTCCAATGCCATGGTCTCTTCATCTGTGCACTCCAGTCACTGCTCACGTGGCTGCTTTTTCCAGAGCCAGCTCATGTTTATCAGCCGAAGTTGTTTACGGCTCATTTACCAGCTGTTTTGAATGTATGTGATTTTAGGCTCGTACTGAGGGATGAAAGACATAAAAGAGGGTGTCTTGAAAGTGTGTTGGCAACTATCAAACTCTGCAACACGTTTCTCCAGGTCCGATTTGCTACTCACTCCATGTGCTGAAAAGAGCCTTTATATAGGGTGGTTTGCTTGTTTTTTAAGTCACCCAACTGACAGATTTGTGGCTGTTCTTTACTTTTTTGCCTAACTCGGTAGTTCTCAGCACCAAATGTAATTCACACATTTAGGATGTAGAAAATAGTTTAAATAGCCAGTCCTTGGTATCCTACCTGACAGACTGCAGTAATGTCTTAGCCAGAAACAGCCCTTTTGGAAAACAGTATTTCAGAGCAAACTGCCTTCTTTTTTAGCAGTGGCATCTCATTTTTTCCATCATTAAAAGTGAAGTATCAAAAATGCCCCATCTACCAATTAGTTAGCAGGTATAGGGCTGAAAGCACAACTTTCACTGTCCTCCCTCATATTCCACATCATGTTGAATCTCCTTGTTCTCACCTTTAAGGCTCCACCCAACTCAGCTCCTACCTTACCTCTGTTCTCATTTCCTCTTGCACACCCTTCTGCTCTTCAAACTCAAAATCGTTTGCCTGACTACCCTTAGTCTTCTCCTCCTCTTATTCTAGACGTTGTACCTTATCTTCACACTGCCCTCTCTGATGGAAGTCTCTTCCAGTACTTTTATTGCCTTCACTTCAAATTCAGATGCCTCTTAACACATTTATATTTGTATTACCATAGTGCCTAGGAACACCAGTCATGGAACTGGACCCCATTGTCCTAGGTGCTGTACAAACACAGAATAAAATTTCAGTCCCTGCACCAAAGAGCTTACAATCTAAATACAAAACTAGAGACAACAGATGGCTGCAGAAAGGCCAACAGGGAAGTAAAAGGAAACAATGACACAATATCAGTTGGCATGATAGGCTGTGGTCCTAGCCTATCATTAAATCTTATAGTGATATCCCACCAAGAACTAATGAATGTGACAGTATGAAGGTTTTACCTTTGACCCATATCTCATCTGTAAAACAAAACATATTTACAATATTTGAACTATGTGGGAAAATTCTCTGCACCTTTTCCAACTCTAATGAATCTTTTTTGAGAAGGGGTGACCAGAACTGCATGCAATATTCAAGGTGTGGGTGTGCCATAAATTTATATAGTGGGATTATGTTTTTCCGTTTTCTTATCTATCCCTTTTCTAATAGTTCCTAACATCCTGTTATTTTTGACTGTTGCTGCACACTGAGCATAAGTTTTCAGAGAACTATCCACAATGACTCCAAGATCTCTTTCTTGAGTGGTAACAGCTAATTTAGACCCCATCATTTTGTATGTACAGTTGGGATTATTTATTCTAAAGGGCAATACTTTGCACCTATCAACATTCATCTGCTATTTCGTTGTCCAGTCACCCAGTTTTGAGAGATGCCTTTGTAAGTCTTCCATAGTCAGCTTTGGGCTTAACTATTTTGAGTAGTTTTGTATCACATGCAAACTTTGCCACCTCACTGCTCACTCCCTTCTCCAGATCATTTATGAATATGTTGAATAGGACTGGTCCCAGTACAGATCCTTGAGAGATCCCGCTATTTATGTCTCTCCATTGTGAAAACTGACCATTTAGTCCTACCCTGTGTTTCTTATCTTTTAATGAGTTATTGATCTGTAAGAGGATCTTCCCATGACTGCTTAGTTTGCTTAAGAGCATTTGGTGAGGGAACTTGTCAAAGGCTTTCTGAAAGTCCAAGTACACTATATCAACAGATCACTCTTGTCCACATGCTTGTTGATACCCTCAAAGAATTCTAATAGATTGGTGAGGCAGGATTTTCCTCTACAAAAGCCATGTTAACTCTTCTCCAACATTTCATGTTTATCTATATTTCTGATTATTTTATTTTTTACTATAGTTTCAATAAATTTGCCTGGTACTCAAGATAGGTTTACCAGATTGTAATTGCCAGGATCTCGCCTCTGGAACCTTTTTAAAAATCAGCATTACATTAGTAATCCTCCACTCATCTGATACAGAGGCTGATTTCAGTGATCAGTTACATACCACATTAGCAGTTCTGCAATTTTTTATCTGAGTTCCTTCAGAACTCTTGGGTTAATATCATCTGGTCCTGGTGACTTATTAGTGTTTAAGTTATCATTTGTTACAATACCTCCTCAACTGACACCTCAGTTTGGAACAGTTCTTCAGATTTATCACCTAAATAGAATGGCTCAGGTGTGGGAATCTCACCCATCTCTGCAGTGAAGACTGATGCAAAGAATTAATTTAGCTTCTCAGGAAAGTCTTTGCCTTCCTTGAGTGCTCCTTTAACACTTCAATCATCCAGTGGCCCTACTGACTGTTTGGCTGACTCTGACATACAATTTTTTAAGTATGTTTAGCTAGTTGCTCTTCAAAGTTGCCTCTAACCACCTCTTTTACTCTGCTATTTACTCATGGTTGCATTTTTTGGCTCTCTTACTGTGTTTTTATTTATTTATTTGGGGGTATACATTTAGTTCAAGCCTCTATTATGGTGTTTTTAAATAGGCTCCATGCAGTCTGCATGTATTTCACCCTTGTGACTGTTTCTTTTAATTTCCATTTAATTAGCTTCCTCATTTCCATGTCATTCCCCTTTTTGACGTTAAAGGCTAATGCGATGGGTTTCTTTGGTATTTTTCCCCAGAAGGATGTTAAATTTAATTACATTATGGTCGGTATTACCAAGCTGTTCAGCTATATTCACCTCTTGGACCAGATCCTGTGTGCCACTTAGGACTAAATCAAGAATTGTCCCTTCCCTTGTGGGTTCCAGGACTAGCTGCTCAAGAAGCAGTCATTTATGGAGTCTAGAAGTTTTATCTCTGCATCCTGTCCTGAGGTGATCTGTTCCCAGTTAATATGGCAAGAGTTGAACTCCCCCATTATTATTGAGTTTTTTTGTTTTTGTAGCCTCTCTAATCTCCCTGAGCATTTCACAATCACCATCACCATCCTGGTCAGGTAATCAGTAGAATATTCCTACTGCTATTCTCTTATTATTCAAGCATGGAATTTCTATCCATAGAGATTCTAAGGTAGTGCTTGATTTATTTAAGATTTTTACTATATTTGACTCTATTCTTTCTTTCACATATAGTGCCAGTCCCCCACCAGCACGACCTACTCTGTCATTCCTGCCAGGTGGAGCCGGCAACAACCAGGACTGGGTTCAATATCTAGGTGTGCCATTCCAACAATATAACACTGAACCGGCTCGAGCCCCCACCCAGTAACCTGAGAAAATTACACACGACCCTTGGGTGCCTCTGAGAGGCAATACTTCCCCACTCGCAACCACAGAGTCTGTAGAAAATAAACTTTTAATGAAAGGACGGAAGTCACCAACACTAATTAGGGAAAATGCCACAAGCAGGATTCATAATCATAAAACTGTGAGCAGGACACCCACCCCGGAGTGCATGGGGCAGTGCCTTACACCTCATGTTCTTGAGTTCCACAACCAACAGTTCCTTTTCTGTGCCCCTCTCTGCTCCCCCACCATACCCCACTCACAGTGCTTGTCCTTGGTCAGAGAGGACCCAGGGTTCAGGGTGCATCTCTGTGAGTTCACTTCCCACCCAGAGAAGAAGGCACCTTGCTTGCTCTGCCATCTGAGCATTTGCTCTGGCTGGCCACCCTGCTAGTCACTGTTCCTCTCTGCTGGCCGCCCTGCCAGCTGCTGTTCCTCTCCACTGGCTGCCTCACCAGCCACTGATTCTGCTCTGCTCGCCGCCTCGTTAGGCACCATTCTGCTTGCTGGTCACCTTCTGCCACCTGCCTCTCTGCTGTGACCTCTGCAGGTGAGTCTCTTGAGAGTTCACCCAACTGTTAGTGATTGTCAGCTCTTAGTGACTTTTAGCTGTTAGTGATGCAGGCTGGGCAGAAATGATGTCCCACCACAAGTGTTTTCAGCTCTAGTAAACACTTAACATAACAAAAGACTCCAAATGGAGAATTCATTCAGATCCTGCTTACACCTATATATTTTGTACCCTGGTATTACCGTGTCCCATTGATTATTCTCATTCCACCAAGTTTCTGCAATGCCTATTATATCAACATCCTTTAATACTAGGCACTTGAGTTCACCCAGCTTAGTACTTAGCCTTCTAGCATTTGTATATAAGCACTTGAACATTTTATCGCTATTCAGTTGCTTGCTTTCATAAGTTATATTTAAGAAGGACTCTTTTACGTTTGACTGTTCCTTATTAGTGTTTACCTGTACTTTACCAACTTATTGCCTATCCTCTTTACTAGGATATAGATTCCTCCCTTTAATAAATTCATACCTAAGGGATGTCTCTGCTTGAACTGCGTGCTCCTTCACACCTGTTGGGTTTCCCCCAACCTCTAAAGCCTTTTTAATTTTATGTGCCAGCAGACCTTTTCCATTTTAGTTTAGGTGGAGCCCATCCTTCCTTTATAGGCTCTTCCTTTCCCAATAGTTTCCCCAGTCCCTAATAAACCTAAAACTCTCCTCTCTACACCCATCATCTCATCCACGCATTAAGACACAGAAGTTCTATCTTCCCTGCCCTGCATGTGGAACTGGAAGCATTTCAGAGAATGCTACTGTGGAGATCCTGGACTTCAATCTCTTACCTAGCAGCCTAAATTTGGCCTCCACGACTCTCTCCTGCCTTTCCCTATGTCATTAGTATCTATATGTGCCACGATCACTAGTTCCTCCCCAGTACCACACACAAGTCTGTCTAGAGGTCTGGGAGGTCTGCAACCTTCGCACCCAGCACACAGTTCACCAGGAGGTTCTCCAGGTCATCACCAAGCCCACATCTATATTTCTAATATTCAAAACCCCTATTACTATTACCTGGTTCTTCCTAGTAACTGAGGTTCCCTCCCCTGGAGGGGTATCCTCAGTGCAAGAGGATGCCATGACATCATCTGGAAGGAGGGTCCCAAACATAGGATAGGTTTCAGAGTGGTAGCCATGTTAGTCTGTATCAGCAAAAACTACGAGGAGTCCTTGTGGCACCTTAGAGACTAACAAATTTATTTGGGCATAAATTTTCGTGAGCTAAAACTCATTTCATCAGATGCATGGAGTGGCATGAAGTTGATGGATTTCCACTTCATATGGCTAATTTCAGTGCCTTGCATGGTGACATGTTTCAGAGTGGTAGTCATGTTAGTCTGTATCAGCAAAAACAACAAGGAGTCCTGGTGGCACCTTAGAGACTAACCAAAAGAAACTACACCATCTGCTCAAGAAACTCCCTGAAGAAGCACAGGAACAAATCTAAACAGATACATCCCTAAAGCCCCGACCAGGGGTATTCTATCTGCTACCTAAGATCCATAAACCTGGGAATACTGGATGGCCCATCATCTCAGGCATTGGCACTCTGACAGCAGGATTGTCTGGCTATGTAGACTCTCTCCTCAGGCCCTACGCTACCAGCACTCCCAGCTATCTTCAAGACACCACTGACTTCCTGAGGAAACTACAATCCTTTGGTGATCTTCCAGAAAACACCATCCTAGCCACTATGGATATAGAAGCTCTCTACACCAACATTCCACACAAAGATGGACTACAAGCCGTCAGGAACAGGATCCCTGATAATGTCACGGCAAACGTGGTGGCTGAGCTTTATGACTTTGTCCTCACGCACAACTATTTCAGATTTGGGGATGATTTATACCTTCAAGTCAGTGGCACTGCTATGGGTACCCACATGGCCCCACAGTATGACAACATTTTTATGGCCGACTTAGAACAACGCTTCCTCAGCTCTCGTCCCCTAGTGCCCCTCCTCTACTTGCGCTACATTGATGACATCTTCATCATCTGGACCCATGGGAAGGAGCCCTTTAGGAATTCCACCAGGATTTCAACAATTTCCACCCCACCATCAACCTCAGCCTGGACCAGTCCACACAAGAGATCCACTTCCTAGACACTACAGTGCTAATAAGCAATGGTAACATAAACACCACCCTATACCAGAAACCTACTGACCACTATACTTACCTACATGCCTCCAACTTTCATCCAGACCACATCACACGATCTATTGTCTACAGCCAAGCTCTAAGATACAACCGCATTTGCTCCAATCCCTCAGACAGAGACAAACACCTACAGGATCTCTATCAAGCGTTCTTAAAACTACAATACCCACCTGCGGAAGTGAAGAAACAGATTGACAGAGCCAGAAGGGTACCCAGAAGTCACCTGCTACAGGACAGGCCCAACAAAGAAAGTTACAGAACGTCACTAGCCATCACCTACAGCCCCCAACTAAAACCTCTCCAGCGCATCATCAAGGATCTACAACCTATCCTGAAGGACGATCCCTCACTCTCACAGACCTTGGGAGATAGGCCAGTCCTTGCCTACAGACAGCCCCCCAGCCTGAAGCAAATACTCACCAGCAGCTACACACCACACAACACAAAAACACTAACCCATGAACCAAACCCTGCAACAAACCCCGACGCTAACTCTGTCTGCATATCTATTCAAGGGATACCATCATAGGACCTAACCACATCAGCCACACCATCAGGGGCTTGTTCACCTGCACATCTACCAATGTGATATATGTCATCATGTGCCATCAATGCCCCTCTGCCATGTACATTGGCCAAACCAGACAGTCTCTATGCAAAAGAATAAATGGACACAAATCTGACATCAGGAATTATAACATTCAAAAACCAGTAGGAGAACACTACAATCTCCATGGACACTCAATAACAGACTTAAAAGTGGAAATTCTTCAACAAAAACCTTCAAGAACAGACTCCAATGAGAAACTGCAGAACTGGAATTAATTTGCAAACTGGACACCATCAATTTCGGCCTGAATAAAGACTGGGAGTGGATGGATCACTACAAAAACTAATTTCCCCCTGCTGATACTCACACCTTCTTGTCAACTGTTTGAAATGGGCTACCTTGTTTACATTGGCCTCATTAGCACTACAAAAGTAATTTCCATCCCTTCTTGTCAACTGTTGAGAAAAACCCACTTCCACCTTAATTGAATTGGCTCCTTAGCACTGACCCCCCTCCCACTTGGTAAGGCAACTCCCATCTTTTCATATTCTGTGTATTTATACCTCCCTACTGTATGTTCCACTCCATGCATCTGATGAAGTGGGTTCTAGCCCACAAAAGCTTATGGGCAAATAGATTTGTTAGTCTCTAAGGTGCCACAAGGAATCCTCGTTGTTTTTGCAAATATAGGATAGTTTCTCTCCACTCCAGCCTGATGTTCTCCTTTCCTGAGACTTTCATCCTCCTTAACAGCATGGAGACTGTCAGACTAGGGGCGGGACCACTCTGCTGCTGGACTATTACTTGCATTACTTTCACTCTTGCAGGGGTTTTTGTGGGGGAGAAGGGGGCTATTGGCCTAAGTTTAGAGTGTTTGTTAGGTGTATCTGCCTCTCACACTCTCTGTCTAAACTCCCTTGCAAAACTCCCCCTGTACATTAGTTCCTCTGGTCGCTTAAGAGCTGGCTTTTTAAATCTCTGATCTCCCTGAATTAGGCCTGCACTCTTGTCAATGGATCCTAAGGGGGTTAGGGATCAAAGGATGGCAGCTAAGGCCCCGTTAATAAGCTCTCAGCCTAGCCTAGCAGGTTGCTTGGCTCAGCACACAGCTCCCAGAACAGATCACACCATGGGCAGCGGGTATCAAAGGCAGGGGGAGGCTATGCCTCCCCAAACAGCCTTGCATGGCCCCACCCACACACTGCCCCCAGACTCCTTCCTGCTTCCCAAGCTATGCTGTGGGGGGCTCTTCCCCCCCCCCCCGTGGCCATGGCCTTAGGCTGGGGATGGGGGGCTAATGGGGGCTGGCCTATGCTCCGGGGCGGGGGGTGGGAGGCCATGCCACCTGCCCGGCATGCTGGGAGGGCCTATGCTGCCCGCCCCCTGGAACTCTGGGGCTGGGGAACGCCATGCCACCCGCCCAGAGCTCGGGGGGAGGCCACACCACCCGCTCTGGGGCTGGGGGGGAAGGAGCACACCACCTGCTCACCCACCAGGCATTCTGGGGATGGTGGGGGGCACGCCGCCTGCTCTCCCATCCGGCGCTCTGGGGTTGGGGGCACTCGGGTGGCTTGAGGGTGTGTGGGGGGGAGCTGGCTGCCACACTGAGGGGGTATCTGAGCTCCGGTGGGAGGGGCAGGGCCTCGGGCAGAAGGTGTGGTCCAGGCCAGGGGCTAGCCTCCCCAAGACCGGAGTTCACCTGCCGCCCATGGAACACGCTGTAATCTTTAATCAAGCAAGAACATAAACAGACAACACACTCACCCTGAGGGTAATGTAGTCACTCCTCCTTTGCCTGGAGAACTCCCTCGCAGAACTCCCCTCTTTACTGATCCTGTTTGTTAGCTTGACCAGACTACAATTCTATAACTGCACTGAAAAAGAGGAAAGTGATAGGTAAATTGAAAGGATTTTTCTCATGCACAATATAAAAATACAATTGAAATCAGTGTTTTCAGCCCATTTATATTTTTCTTTACCTAAGCACAATATACATAAAAATGTACAATGATTAAATACCTCCAAAAATATGAAATCTTGTGGCATATATTTCAGATATTGTTTAACTATGGAATATTCTTGTTTAAATACATCCCCAAAACTTGCTGGTATCAACTGAAAATGAATCAGGTGCTGAGATTACACCTTTGTTAATCCTGATGATCCACAAACGCCACAATGAGGTATTTAAAATAGGAAATTCATTGAACCTAGTTGGGCATACTTCGAATTACTGTTTAGTTGATTAGCAATGGCTCCAAAGCCAGCCACCATAAAAAGTTTCTCAGTATATTGTTTTTATACCCTAGAGCAGTTTGCAGGTATTATGATTCCTTTAAGCTCTACACAAGATTTTCTTTGTTTAGTAGCCTGCATGTTACATGTATCCTTTCACATTTCAGGCACATTTTGTGTGCATTACTATTCTATTATCAGGTCATGCTGACACTTTAAAAGTCTACTGGCCCCCCTTTGAAACAGTTGCCAAATCAACAACTATGAACAAAATCACATCCTAGTAGAACACAGTATCACAAATGAAATCGACATACAGTAGAAGCAATTTAAAGTGTATTAACTGAGCCAGTTCTGATGTTCGCACCGTCTGATATCTCTTAAGAAGATAGCTCTGTCTGTGACTCCCCCGAAGCATACACTACCATTTTCTCCTTGCAATCACATCTAATAGTTCAATGGGATTACTCCTCCTTAAAGTTAAGCACATGCATACATATTTGCAGGATCACTGCCTTTCTCCCGTTACTTCTCCCACTCCATCCTATATTGTTTTAGTAAGGGAAAGATCTTCTTCTGCACTAATTAGAGATGGGCCTACCTCACAAAGGGCATGATCAGGTCCAAACCCTGTTTAATTCAGGAGTGTTCAGATCTGCCAGGAATCACTCATAAAGGTAGGATACAGATCGTGATCAAAGCTTCAGGGATTTTCAGATGTGGGATTTGGATTTGAGCCTCCCTCTAGTATTAGTCCCTGTACTTTTATACCTACCCAATAAACAGTGAGAGGGCACATTTGTGTGAACAGATGTGTTTTAACCTGTTCCAGATGCATTGTAAGCTCTTTGGGGCAGGAAGCATCTTTTTAATATGTCTGTTTGTAGTGCCTATCATAATGAGGCCTTTATCCATGACTGGAGCTTCTAAATGCTACCTTAATACAAAACAATGACTCTTTCACTTAAAGTATGAAAGCCTTTGGCTACCATAATACCTAAAAATGCAATATAACAACACCTAAAAAATCAATGTGTGCCTGTCTCTATTATTCTTAAGAATATTTGAAAGAGATATGATGCTTAACTGATGCACAGTGTTTAGGTAATTAAAAGAATATTTGAGAGAAAGGAAAATTCTCTTTTAAAAACAACACACACCAAATTCCAATTCTCACTTAAATAAATGTAGACTGGACTATGCATCTGGGAACAGACAGGAAATGCATGTTTCTAGCAGTCACAACTATGAAAATAACTTGCAAATTTGTGACATCATGATTACTACTCCTACTAATTATTTCCACACTTAGGAAAATATCAGAATTTATAGGAGGCTTTCAAGATATGGAAAATATCCCACAAGTGAGCCAACTATAATTCATAAGAGGTAGAACCCAGAATGAATTATTAAGGTCATTCCTTCAAGAATGAATGTAAACATTTTCCACATCTCAGTATACTATGTATGCTGTGTATATATTAAATGCCTGTATTCATGGGGTCTGTGCATACGTAATAGTTATCCCATCTATTTTAGGAATTTCTATGGCACATGTCACTATGGTATCTAAGCACCAATACTGTTTATGTAATTTTAAATAAATAAAAGGAATCCAGTTACTACTCATTCTCTTTATTTGTAAATGCAATATAAAGGTGTTAGATTCCAGTAGAAAACATAAAATGAATATCAGGAATTGATACAAAAGTTAGACGATGGCTAATTCTCAATGTTTAGATGATTAAAAGGGAATCACAGACTGCATGACATCAAGAGCACACATCAACCTTACTTTTGTCTGAAGACCCAGTGTAATGGGGAGGTATGATCGCTGCTCCAAGGATCGTACCAAATGGGACAATAAATGCACTGTGCCATATTATTATTGTCTGTGCTGGCATAAGCCCCAATCCTACTAATAAAAGCACAGTTGAAAACTCTTATGACTGCACACAGTTCCACTGTCTTCACTGGGACTCCATGCCAGAGCAAGGGTCTGCATTGGCTTATCTGTTTGCAACATAGGGAAGTTAGAGCTTTCCAGGGCCAGGAATGACTCTTTCTTTGATCTGTACCATGCTGAACACATTGTTGGTGCTTAGCAAAAAATAAAATTATATTTTATTCAATACAAACAAAGACCAGGCGGTCCAATCTCAAAATAGTGCAGATTTTTAAAAAAATTATATTGCTTTGGTGTATTCTCACTGAAAGGCTTAAAAACGTGTATCTTAGGAACGTTGGTCAGTTGGCACAAAGGAAGCGGGAGTCTATTCCAATCTGAGGGGCAGTGCTTATTCATCTCGGCAATACCCAGATAGTAGGGAAATGCCTAGATAGAAGGCACAAGCATAGGCGCCAATTCCGTGGGTGCTCCGGAACTCAAGCACCCACAGAAAAAAAATAGGGGGTGCTCAGCACTCCTCAGCCACAGCTGTTGGGCAGGCTGGGACTGGCCGCCGATTAGCTGTTCGGCGGCTGGTGGTAAGGACTGCAGGGAGGAGAGGAGCCAGCAATGGAATGGGGGGGGGGTCTTGGGGAAGAGGTCAGAGAGAAGTGAGCGAAGGGCAGGCAGAGGGATGGGGGAGGGTGTGAGGTGGGGGCTGGAAGAGGCGGAGCGAGGTCAGAGCCTTGCAGGAAGGGGTGGGGTGGGGGCAGGGCCTTGGGTGGAGGCGGGGTGGAGCACCTACTGGGCAAAAGAAAAGTCAGCGCCCATGGGCACAAGGACAAGAGATAGAACGATCCGAAAGGAATAATTAGGCGGGAAGCTTGAGAAAGGCCAAAGGAGTGAGGAAGAAATGAAAATTCACAGTATTTGACAACTAACTCCAGCGGCGCAGCGGGGCTAAGGCAGGCTGCCTACCTGCCCTGGCTCCCAGAAGCGGCCAACGTGTCCAGCTCCTAGGCTCAGGGGCAGCCAGGCAGCTGTGCATGCTGCCCCGGCCAGCAGGCACCCCCCCCCAGCTCCCATTGGCTGCAGTTGCCGACCAATAGGAGCTGCAGAGCCGGCGCTCGTGGCAGGGGCAGCGTGTAGAGACCCCCCTGGCTGCCCCTGCACCTAGGAGCCAAACATGAGGGCCACTTCTGGGAGCCGCCCGAGGGAAACGTCGCCCAGCCAAAGCCCACACCCCCTCCCGCACCCCCTGCCCCAGCCCTGAGTCCCTTCCCACACCCAAACGCCCTCCCAGAGCTTGTACCCCAAACCCTCCCCTGAACCCCAATCCGCTGCCCCAGGCTCAGTCCAGAGCCCCCTCCCACACTCCAGTCCCCTCACCCCACCCTCCAGCCCAGAGCCCGCACACTCTCCCACACCCCAACCCCTGCCCCAGCCCGGTGTAAGTGAATGAGGGTGGGGGAGAGCGAGCGACGGAGGGAGGGGGACAGAGTGAGTGGGGGCCAGGGCCTTGGAGAAGGGATGGGGCAGTTAGTTGTCAAATACTGTGAATTTTCATTTCTTCCTCACTCCTATGGCCTTTCTCAAGCTTCCCGCCTAACTATTCCTTTTGGATCATTCTATATCTTGTCCTTGTGCCCATAAGCGCTGACTTTTCTTTTTCCCAGTAGGTGCTCCACCCCATCTCCACCCAAGGCCCTGCCCCCACCCAACCTCTTCCTGCAAGGCTCTTACCTCGCTCTGCCTCTTCAAGCTCCCACCTCACACCCTCCCCCATCCCTCTGCCTGCCCTTCGCTCACTCAGGGAATGGGCGGGGCAAGGGAAGGGTGTTTGGGTTTGTGCAGTTAGACAGTTAGCAACCCTATCCTGTATGCTGGACTGTGTACACATGAAGGGAAAAGTTCCTTATGGCCTTTCCATTCATGTTCACTATGGTGCAGTGTGACTTCTTTGTCACATTACCCTGTGCCAGCCTAGTGCTGTCTTGCTCCCTGAAAATCATTCTACATAGATCCTAAGTCAGTCAAATTACTTCTCCATATTACTGGTGCCTTATGAGGGAATACGGGGAGTTGGTAACGTTTTATATGGAAAAAAACCTGAAAATTATCTTCAAACAGTTCTCTGTCAATACACAACATGATCTACCTTGTACAACCCATTAACTCTTGGACTAGTGTAATATGCCAATGTATTAGTCAAATGAATGCGGTACACATACACAGAGGCATCCAGAGCAAACACGGGGTTAAAATTAAGAAAACCTGGGAGCAAAGCTGAAAGAAAGGTCTATTTGAAGGGGGTAGAGGTGGTGAGGAGAGGAAACCCAGAGTGGATTTTAGTTCACATTTTTTTCTATAAAATCTAAAACCTCCAGACTTGTAAAAATCATGTCCCTATGGTAATAGCAGCTTTGTGGATTTTCCAGACAATAGGGCATCAGAAAGAGTCACCTGATCCACCTTTAAGACCCGGTGAGAACTGTGGAATATAATGGGCTGCAAAACACCTGAAACTGCTGGCATCAGGAACACTTCCTGTCTAATGCTGTTGGACAACAGACACAAAGCCTGCCCTGTAATTACATCCTACCCTGATCTACATTTGCAGTCATGTAATTAATACTTCCTCTGTAAAGCAATGGAATAATATAGAGAGCAGATATTTCAATCTTAGTCTGGGAAAAGTCAGAGAGAGCCCTGCATGTGCATTTTAGCTACAGGGAAGTGCTTTTCTGGTTC